GGCCCGGTTCAGACGCCGATCTTTTCACGAGCCGATTCTATTACATTGAATTAAGTACATGAAAAGTTCGGCGTCTGAATCATTTAGGAACGCCTCTTTACTGAGCTGCCTCGTCTGTATATAAAAACGGCCTCCCGGGCGAGGGAAGACACGAGGGTCTGGTACCGAGAAACGATGTTCTCACAAATGGTTTCATAGGATTTTCCCTTGCACGGACCCTTGCACAAATACTTTTTGTACCTCGTCTCCGCCCACCCCCCAGAAACCCAGAAGGCGAGGGACGTGACAACTTTGCCATGTTAGAACACTGGCTTTTCCTTTAAATATTTCCTTCACACGCCACTTTGGAGGTCTAAATTTCGGATACTGAGGATAAAGAAGACACGGACAAAATTAGGAACTCTGAGAATTTCGCACACAAGTTCAAAGCTTCACCGGAACATCCCATCTGGGAGCTTCACAAAGACCGACCTGAGGAAAATAGGAGCTATTACTGACAAGGTTTGGTGACTGAATAGAGCATACAAGTGTAGCCCAGGTTGAGGTTTCAGGGGGTTTGCTTTTGGTTGTATCTGTATCTTGCTAAGCTTTAATCATTAAATTTGTACATGATCTTGCACGATATATCAGATGCGTTGATGTCAGCATTAGCAAGTTTCAAGTGATGTTTCTTGTACCATTTTAAGGAGACGTAAACTAAAGTCACCGCCAAGTGCGAACTTAAAAAAGAGTACAATCCATTTATCTCGAAACATAATGCACATGACTTACACGACCTTTATTTTCCTAAAGGTGTTTTGAATACGAACACAATAAACGTGGGGGGGGCAAAAACAGTTTTAATATGAATGAACCATAGGGTTTAATTAATATAAGGGTCAATTATTGTGCATTGAAATGAATCGCTTGAAAAGAGAGAGTTCGTTTGGAGATGTGATCAGAGGTAAACAAGGGCACATTGTGCGTTACGTTAAGTCTTTTTAATATCCAAGGACTGTGAATAGTGTTTCCATATTGTTTAGCTTCCACAAAAACTTTGGAGGAGTTATAAAGCGGCATAGGTATCTGCCATGAAGAAAAGTTAGTCATGGGTGTCGTGAGACAAACAGCGAACTCGAGCGAATTTTTAACTCATATCGGTATCAGGTAAAAAAATATGTTATCGATCTTTTCATCTATTTACAGTGCGTGCTAATGAAAGCAACATGCGAGCGAGAAATCTTTAAACTTTTTTAGGTCACAAAATGCAAAGGATGTTATTCCTTTAAGTTAGAGAAAAATACCAAGACGAAAATCTTAAAACTGAATATTTTTTATCTTGTGGAAAAAATAGTGCGTTTTCATGTAGACTGTAGACCGCAAAATAGGATCGTCTATTTAAAGTCTCAGTGCAGTCAGTGAGGTCCCTGGATCGGGATCAATGGCCAGTTGGCTGTCTGTTTTAGTAAACTTCTGGGATTCATCCAACAGACCTTTCCCGCATTCCTCACAAGCACGCGCGCGAAAACATGAAAGTGAGGCTCGGGTGGACAAACATCAAACATGGCGGACAACACCTTCACTTCTTCGCGCGGTGGCCGTAGCAAATATTGTTGTGTCCCTGGTTGTAAAAGTTCTTTTATAATAATCAGGGGAAAAAAAGTAATATTTCATTTTTTTTCTTTTCCTCTTAAGGCAAAAAGTAGGAATCGGTGGCTTTTGGCAATTAAAAGACAAGAAAACAGAGACGGATTTGTTGACTACTATTGACTACTATTCCTTCCATTTTCAGCTGGAATAAAAGTGCGAGCACTTCTAATCGAAAATTACCAAAAAAAGAGATGTTCTGATCAAAATAAAGAAAACATTCAGCCTGAATCCGAACCATGTTATTTAAGCTCTGGGTTGCTTAATAAAGACAATGCAAGACCGACAGTGGGCTGTGAAAATTGCGCTTATTTGAGAAGAGTCGTGGAAAAGTTGGAGGTTAAATTGTCACTTTTGATTAAACAAAAAAGTGACGTTGAAAAAGAATGGAGTGAGCTGTAAGCCAAAATACAAAAACTGGAAAAAGGACAGTTTACATCCAAGAACATCACAGAACATGGAAGTCATCTTTTTTAAGAATTCTATGAAATACTCCTTCTCGTATATTGTCAATAAAATACAGTAAAAATCTGCATACAAGAACCTAGATTTTTCCAACTTAGCCTAAATAGGTTCTTATAGAAATAGTATTTAGTGGGATTCTAGGCTACTTAGGTTCTAAAACAGGTTCTTAATTTGATAGGGGCACTAGTGATCAGCACAGATAACTACTCTCGGGCATATGAGAGAGACACATGGATCTGTATTCTTAATAATTGCAATGTGTAATCCAGTATTGGCAAAGACATAATATGGTTTTCGTTTTAGTTCATTGTTTGAATCTTACTGACTGAAACCCTAAAAGTTTTTCTCCGTATTTTCATCTGTGTTTCATTTTTGTAAAATATGAACCTATTGAAAATCTTAGGCTAAATAGGTTATTATGAAAAGGGGGTTTAAAATAAACATTTTAGCCTAACAGGTTCTTAAATTTTAGGTTCTTATACGTGGGTTTTTACTGTACTGTAATAACATTGCAACTAGTAAAGTAACCTTATCCTTGAAGCCCTAACACCCATCAACAGGAGTCTAAAAGCTAGATACTATGGCAAACTGGTACACTACACAATATACTAAACTGCATTTAGGCCATGACCTGAGGAAGAAACCACTTTCCATAGAAGATGCTTACTTTACATACTACTTGGTCAAAATAATCTTTCTTAAATGGAACCCTTGTGATGATCATCCCTTTAAATAGATAGACTACAAAGTCAACCCACTCTAAACCACAGAAACCCATAGCTAGCTGCACGTGGGTGTAATATCCTAGGTGATGATCTTTCTTCAGGTTGGGTTTACCATCAACTAATTCAATGTAAAACGATTCATCTTGCATCGCCTCCTCTGGGGTGTGGTTCTTCTTTCCCCCTGGACATTTCATTTCAATTGTCCCTATCTTCCCAGATGAGGAACATGGATCAATAACAAGACCATAAGCAGCGCCGTAGCTAGTATGAGGCCAACCGAGGCACTCGCCTCGGTAAAATTTTGACGAATTTCGCCGATCATTTTTATTTTACATAAGCGATCATCGGAGCCTCTCAGAAAAGATTTCGTGGCCAAAATATAACAGTTAAAAAATATATATATATAACCAAAATTTTCGCCGTATTAATACTGCAGGCATGTCAGTACAAAAAACCTGTCGGTACACCGGAAGTACCTCGCTTTCATGTGCGACGTCACGAAGTCTGTCTATACATTTGTACAGCGGTTGCTTTCAGCATGGTCTGATCGATCCGCCATTTTGTTGAGCTCGAAGCATGCAGCGTTCAATTAAATCGTTTTTAAAAAGAAAACGGTAAGTAGAGGGAATCTTTGCACCAAGTGTTTGTTTAAATTACTTGTTTATAAAATTTGGGAATGAATTTGTTGAAAAAAAACTTCTTTTTAGCGATTCAACTTCCAGTGATTGCAGTGACACTGCCAGTGCCACACCGATAGAGAAGGACGAAGTTCAGGTTGAAGCCGTCGAAGCAATTGATAGCGATGTTTCACACCAAGGTCAGTATAAACAAAAGTACAGGGTTATGCCATGGTTATAATGTTTGTAATCTCTAGTGACTATATTTAGATTTTTCATGGGCAGAATGGAAAGCACTATATTTGTCAGAATTTGATTTAAGTACTTTAATTGTTACGTAGATGTCAAGACAAACGATTTTACACCTTCATCTTGGCTGGAAAACCTCCCTACAGAAATCTTGATCAAGATATTCAAATATCAGACGATTCAGGGAAATATGTTAGGGATTGGCTTAGTATGTCGCCGATTTTATTTGATTACCGTGACATACCCAGAACTCTGGTCCACACTGGAGTCAAGTGTAGAGTTTAGTGTAGAATCATTCAAACTCATTATGACTCATGCTCGTGATTTTAAAGTTTTAGCTTTAAAATACTCGCAAAAGGCTGTAAGCTACAATAGCTCAGAGGGTTTCATAGAAGGGTGTCTTTCGTCGTGTATAAACATAGACGAACTTGATCTATCTTACAACACATCTATTGTTGACTTGGCATTTTTACAAAGCATGCCTATCTTAAAAAAACTTATTCTTGAAGGATGCACAAGCATTGACCCCCAAAATATGCTTTATAACCTGAAAAAGTGCAAGGCACTGAAAGTTCTGAATGTTTCTAACTGCTTGCAATTGGAAGGCGAGCACCAAATAACAGGGCTTGTTGAAGTATGTCTGGTGTTGCCACTTCTTCAGATATTTAAAGCTGAATGGAGCTGCCGATTTGCTCCAGAATTAGTAATGGATATTTTAGACAGCTCTCCTCATATTTCCCAATTAGCTGTAACTCCATCTTTCTGGGGATCCCAATCTGATTTATGGGCTGATATTGTATATGGGCATAAAAATGTAAGATTTGGTGAAAGTATAATGCTTCAAATTTAGTCATATGGTCGAAGATTACTGTAATGCAAATCGGCTTCAAACATGGTGTGATTAAATAAAGATTTTTTTTGAATACAAGCAACTCGACTATTTTCCTTAACTAGTCTAATCAAAGTATTTGAGATGGTCCACTCTAAAATCTGACTGGTTCAAACAACTGAGATGATTTGTCACTTCATGATAATGAAAATATTTTTTAGCCAATTATACAATAAACAACAAAAGGTTCGCATTGCTTTGACTAGTTGAATAAAATTTCCTGGAATATTTCAAGGAATATATCATTCAGTTTATTGGTTACTATATAGTAATCAACAGTTATCTCAGCCAAATTGTAAGGCTTCTGCTCAGCTGCATTTCATGCAGATATTTTCGCTGTTTCTACCAGACAGTTTTTACAGTGGGGCCCGTCGAATATAGAACAGTCAGTGCTGTAAATGCTACAAAAACAACTAGCTTATAATCATTTCTTTTATTTATGTGAATACAGATCCTCGTGACCTTGGAAAACTTCACAGAAACAAACTCAGTGACGCAGATATAAAAGCGATTTTGAAGCCAGTCGACTCCAAAAAGGGAATACAATACCCTGTGAATCCTCAGAAGAGGAGGTATAATCCTGAGTGGGAGGATAGATTTCCTTGGTTGCGTTATTCGGAATCAGAAGATGGGGCATACTGCTCATGCTGTTTTACCTTTGCCAATGCGTCTACTTCGAATGACCCACTAGTTTCTGCTCCTTTCAAGGACTGGAAAAATGCTATAGGTGCTAAAAGAGGCATTCTCACAAACCATGAGCTGACAAAGTGTCACAGGAGTTCAATGGTCGCCGCCGAAAACTTTATGCTCGTGGCTAGAAAAGAGAAAGAGTCTATCAAAGAATCCCTGAATCGTAGCTACTCAGAAACAGTTCAGAAAAGCAGAGATACCCTATGTTCTATTCTTGACGTGGTGATTCTTCTAGCCAAAAGAGGTATTCCATTCAGGGGAAGGTGGGACAAATCTGCTAAAAGAGATATTGGTAATTTTGAATATTTTATTCACTGGCTGGCAAAATATGATAACAACCTGTCTGATCACTTGTCGTCGGCTGCAAAAAACGCACGCTGTTTATCGCCACAAGTCCAAAACGAAATGATAGATTGTCTTGGTGAGGTTATTTGCAGTACCCTTGTTTCAAATGTCAATCAGAGCAAGTTCATCAGCATCATGGCGGACGAAACAACTAATGTTTCGACGATAGAGCAACTGTCTGTCTGTGTACGATACCTTGGCATGTCATCTGCCACCAACAAAGTTGAAGTCGATGAAGTCTTCCTGGGGTTTGTACCGCTACCGAGAACTGATGCAGCTACCATATCCGATCTCTTGATTAATCACCTTGTTAAATGGGGTGTCGATCTTGAGCGTCTCCGTGGAATGGGGTTTGATGGGGCGTCGGTAATGAGTGGAGTTAATGCAGGAGTCCAGGCAAGGATCACTGCCCGATTTCCAAAAGCAAAGTACTTTACCCATTGCTCAAGCCACTGCCTAAACCTAGTCATCGTCGCAAGCTGCAATGACGTGCGTGAAATCAGCAACTTTATGACAACGTTCCAGCAAGTAACACTGTTTTTTTCTTACTCTGCCAAGAGAAAAGATATTCTAAAGGAGAAAATGGGTGCGGCTTCCGATGCTGAAGAACTTCTGGCAGACTGTACGTTGGAAGAGCACGAAGAGGAAAATCTTTCGGCCGCCTCAAACCGTGAATGTTTACCAACCTTGAGCGACACACGCTGGCTTTCACGAGTTGATTCCATCAGTACCCTTTTGGTGAATTACTCAGCTATATACGATTCTGTATCTGAAGTCATGCTGCAGTCAACAGGCAAGGCATCCCATGATGCATCCGCCTTTTTACGTGCCATGGAGCAGTTCCATTTCATTATTTCAGCGGTGCTAACTCAATACATCCTGGGTTATACAAGTCCTCTATCCGTTCTGCTCCAATCAAAGTCGTGCGACTTGATAAAAGCCCACGACGAAGCAAGACACCTTGTGTCCGTATTAAACGGCGTAAGGAGTGAGGAAAAGTTCAAGATGCTTTTCGATAGAGCCGCCACAATAGCTAAAACAATCGATGTATTGCCTTCCAAACCCAGAACCACCGGCAGAAAGGCCCATCGCGCAAACGCACGTGCTGAATCAATTGAAGAATTTTACAGGTATTTACGTTTTTGATCACGATGTCAATAAGAAAAGCAAATAATTTTTGCTTGAAAGTTTTAAATCAATTCGTGTTGTTGTCGTTTTCCTAAACTAATCATTTGTATTATTTTTTTTTTTATTTGCTTGTTATCTCTAAGGCTGAATTACTTCTACCCTTTTCTGGACCATGTTATCAGGCACATGGAAGAGCGATTTCCTAAAGATCTCAGGGGTGCTTTACTGGGTGCACTGCTTATACCTGCCAATCTAGACCAACTGACTCAGGCAGAGGAGAGGTGAGTAAAATCAAATCTGAGTTCTCATTACCCAGTTGACACTTGAGCAGTAGCCTGCGAAAACATCAACGATCAACGATCTCCGCAAGCAATGGAGGATTTGGAAGCCCTTTGCAAGAAATTATCTATCTTGTCTACAAAAAATCAGCTCAAATGGAATGCTTCTAAGAACGACCTACTCAGGTTTCTGGCCTTGCATTTGGAAGTTCAGCCTAATCAATTTCGCGCTAGCGACAACGGAACTTGTGCTGTTTTCAAGATTCAAAACATCACTTGTAACTTCTACCACAAAGCGAAAACTCTACAAATTCAAGGAAAAGAAGATGCAGACAAACTGAGAAACGATTTAATTAATCTAACTTCAGCTTGGGCACACCCGGTTAGCGAAACGTTGAACGCATTCCAAGAGAATCTAGACAACGATGTTAAAGCGAGAGAGGTGATAACTACGGGGCTTGTTTCGCCTAGTGATGGCTCAATTACAATTAATGCTGACAACAGCCTTGGAGGGGATTTTGCTAAACCTCCTGTTTCACCCAATGAAGACGACCTAGCCAAAGCTGAAAATTTTATTGATAACGCATACGTGGAAGTCATTTTGGATGCTAACAAATCTCAATATTCAAATCTGGTCAAAGATATCGAAGCTGATTACGACAGTCAATTAACTCAATTGTCGCTGTTGTTAAAAGAAGTGTCTAACGAACTAATTGATCTGAAAGCTTCTCATGCAGCTTTACTAGCGGCAAACAATGAAATAACAAATGAATTGACCGCGCTACGAAATGACGTAACCTCTCACCTCCAGACCCAATCACAAAGGTTAACGGAGACAAATGATCCGAGAGATTCTCATGCTGCATTACTGGTCGCTACCAACGAAATAGCCAATGAAGTAATTAATCTTCGAAATGACATAACTTCTCACTTCGCGAGTGGAAGGAGATTCACCCGCGTGAAATCGCGAAATCCCGTGACAGAAATTTTTACATAGAAGACCAAGACCCGAATGCACCACGGGGGTGTGTTTTCTGCAATAACACCTCACACAAGCCTAGTGATTGTACAGTTATCTCAAGCGCCGCCAATAGGAAGAAATTTATACAAGAGAAGAGGCTTTGTTTTAATTGCACTGGCCCTCATCGAGCAGCTCGCTGTCGAAGCCGAGGAAACTGCGCTTACTGTAAGCAGAGGCATCACACATCTATCTGCGATCAGCCTACCCGATCTACAAACGAAGGAGCTGCAATGACCGCCGCACACGTGGGGGAGAAAGTCTGCCACCCAGTAGTTATAATCAAGGTCAATGGAGTGAAATGCCGTACGTTACTTGACACTGGGGCCACTGGATCGTACATATCAGCCTTCTTGGTGAATCTCCTGAAAGCAAAGCCTTCTCGCACCCTGACACGTGGTATTAAAACAATCATGGGATTGGTCACTAAGCACGTCGAGACCTACGATGTGAAGATATACGATACACTAAAGAAGTGCGTGCTACCAGTCTGCGTGATGAAAATCGAACAGTGCGAGTTACTAACCCTGGAGAATCGTAACTACCATGAGATGCTGGGGCGATATCCACATCTTAAAGGTGTCCGAATGGAAGAAACCGACACAAAGGAACTCCTTCCCATCCATGTGATACTGGGGACAAATGAGTACACGAAGATCAAGATGGCCGGTTATCAGCGCACAGGAGCCGTGGGCGAGCCTATTGCCGAGCAGACCATGTTCGGGTGGACGATAATGTCATCAGGTGCTGAAGTTGACACAGACCTCACTTGGAGACTACGAAGAACTGTGCCGTATGGACATATTGGGATTGCAAGACACGCCTATCGGAGATCAGGACGTTGTGCACCAGGAGTTCCTTGAACAGCTTAAACGTAGGCCAGAGGGATGGTACCAAACTGGCTCCCTTGGAAAGGTGGCCATCCCCCCTTGCCTAATAATAAGACCGGAAGCCTTAAGTGCCTTGCCTCACCAGTGCAGCGCCTAAAACGGAACGGCAAATTGGAAGATTATAATGCCATAATACAACAGCAACTAGAAGAAGGCGTTGTTGAAGAAGCCGAAGAGCCCGCCCAAGTGAAGGCTGTTATCAGAGAGAGTTCAGAGACGACGAAAATGCGAATTGTCTATGACGCCTCCGCCAGAGCCTATGATGCAGCTCCCTCCTTAAATGAGTGTCTGGAATCGGGACCCCCGCTGCAAAATCAGTTATGGAAAGTGCTAGTACGCGGACGTTTCAATGCAGTGGTTATTGCAGGAGACATACAAAAGGCCTTCCTACAAGTGCGTATCCACGCAGAAGACCGAGATGCGCTGCGTTTTCACTGGATCACCAGAGAGTATCCCGAGCAAGTACGTACCCTGCGATTCACACGAGCTCTGTTTTGCCTGGGCTCATCACTTTTTCTCCTCGGAGGAGTCATTCAGCATCACCTCAACATCTGTCTACCTGATTACCCTGATGCTGTACCAGAGATTGAGCGGGGTCTGTATGTGGATGACTTGCTGATGGGAGGCCAAACTGTTGAAAAGGCGTGGAAAATTAAAGCTACCTCCACAGAGATCTTCGGAAAAGCCTCGTTTAAGCTTCATAAATGGAACTCTAACGTCCGAGAGTTACAGGCCTTCGGCGCCCACGACAATGAAGGAGTAATCACCTATGCAAAGGAACGGCTAGGAGTGAAACCGGGGGAGTGTGGACTCCTTGGATTGAGGTGGAACAAGGACTCTGACACAATTGCAGTTACCTTCCCCCAAGAAATTGTAGCAGCTACAAAGAAAGGAGTGCTGGGCAAAATCGCAAAGGTGTATGACCC